AGCGTGTGATGGAATTTATCGTTAGCTCGGGGGCTAACTAAGCTAACATTATTACCATCCATTGTAATTTAAGTTTATCATTATCATTATTTCCGTCACAAAAAAGAAGAATATTGGACTAACTAAAGTCAGCGTTCAGCACCACAGACAGAGCACCAGCGCGCTAAACTATTGTGAACTGTCAATCAAGCCTCACTGCTGCGTCGCTGAAGCCACGCGGTCAGCCGGCGAACTCAGCTGCGAACATCAGCCGTCAATTAACTCAAAATTCTCAACGTGTCACTGCGTGAAACCCGTCAAATTAGCTCACTAGAACGCTAACCTTGCCACTGGCAGTGCCACCGGAGACACCGATGAGGAAAGGTTGCCGAACAACCTGGGTGTTCTCGTCGCGGTCCCCTAAATGTGTCTCACTGTCGCCAGCCATACTTGTAATGTGCTGCTCCAGCCGCTGAGCTGGAACGTCGTTATGTTGTAGCTCCGCCCACAACGCTGCCCTTTATTTTAGACAACTGCAATTTTAATTATATATATTTTTATTTGCTTGTATTTATTAAGAAAGTTTTACAGCCATGCAATAGTTACTGACGTTTAATTATGTTTAAGATATGAGAGTATATTCTTAAAGCCGCTTTAAGTGATCGACAGTGAAACTATCCAATCGTATAGTACGTTCAGACGCCACTGGCCTGTTAGCGCCGATTGGCTTTCGGCTGCAATTTGGCCCGCCCCTTGGTGAATCGTCAGAAAAGTACCGTAGTAATGGCAACTAAACACGATATTCTCAATTGAGTTGAGATTGGACTCTTCGAAAACAAATTAAACGTCTTATAGGTATGTTTTCTCAAAACTTAAATCCAATAATGAATTTTTAAAAGTGACAGTAAAGTGAAAGAGTCGTTAGCACATAACTGTTTGGCGGAGTTGCTTGTAATCGAGTCAGACTCCTTTTTAGATTTTCCAGCGTTATCGGTAAAGTGACGTTAACCCGCATACTGCATGTTTTACAGTCATCAGTGACACTTGAAGCGACGGGACGAGCTCCAATATGCTCCGGAGACTCGCTAGTCTTCCTCTGCGGCGGCCTGCAGCTGCTCTTCTGGCTGCTGGAGTGAGGTGTATCTCCTCCGGCTCGGTGGAGATCACCCCCCCGCTTAACTTCTGGGCTGGGAAGAGGAGGACAGGCCCTGAGAAATGCAGCAAGGACAATGTTTACGAACCTGCAACCGGTAAAACACACAGCTCGTAAATACTGAAAAAAAAGTACTGACCCTGCCTTATGACCGGACTTTGGCCATTGCTGTGTAAATATGTATGTCTGGTAATCTTTAGTAGGGGAAAATGATTTTAACGTTACTTTCTGAATGATTAGAGTCTTTTTGTCAAATACACCTCTAAACTTGGTAACTAGTTTTTCAATAAAAGTAAACTTTCTACACATGTTGATTGATATACTGTATCCAGTTAGTTACAGCTATAGACCAGCAGTCCTGTATGGACAGTGTTATCTCTGCACAGCTTCATTGGAGCAGAACCAAGACATGAGAGCACATCGTTATCAGTTAATGATGCCCGATAATCAGCCTGTTGCTCCGTGCATTACACATTTTTAGTCTAATTATATTCTGATGCTCTTTGAGGCCCGGTCCCTGTTTTTAATTCAGCTCTCTTAACTCCATCTGAGCCAGCACAGAGCCTGCATGCAGCCCCACCCTTTATGCATGGTGCTCTTTATCTAATCACAGTTACCATCACTGAAAATGACATTTCCAGCTCTAAAGTGTAAGCGAGCCACAAAATTCACAGCACAGTTGCCTGTAGCTGCTGTAGGCCGATAATTATTTTTCCTTCACATCAAAGAACGACTGGAATCATAGAGATGACTGTGCCAAATGGAAACTGTGTGCAACCTGTTGTTTTCATGAAAGTCTGCCTACTTGGACGCTTGAGCTATCTTCCATTCCATGTTGTAGGCCGTGTTCTGTGCCAGTTGGAGCCTTGTGGTGGTGTGGAGGTGGATCAAGCTGTGAAGGCTGCCAAACTGGCTTTCGGTTATTGGAGCAAAATGTCGGGGATGGAGAGGGCAAGGGTCATGATAGAAGCTGCACATATAATTGAGGTGTTTGTTGTTTATATGTTTTTTTTGTTTTGTTTTTTTAGAATGAAGAACAGCTCAACAAAGTTGTTGTTGTTATATCTTGCAAAAGGAAGATCCCATGAGTCATCTAATATATTAGATTGCATATGCCCTGATTTTCATGCACAGAGCAGCAGAGAGGAAATAGCTGAAATGGAGGTGGTCAATAATGGGAAGTCCATCACAGAGGCCCGTCTGGATGTGGACTCTGCCAGAGTGTGTATAGAGTACTATGCAGGACTGGCCAGCACTTTAGCAGGTTGGTATAGCTATCGTATATTTTCGCCATATTTATATAGCTTTATAAATGTCACGTCAGCCTTTGTTTTACCTTGTCAATGCTTCTGTTTTCCTTTATCAAGGCCAGCATGTCCAGTTGCCTGGGGGATCCTTTGCATACACTCGCAGAGAGCCGCTGGGAGTCTGTGTTGGCATCGGTGCTTGGAATTATCCCTTTCAGATCGTTGCCTGGAAGTCTGCTCCAGCCCTGGCCTGCGGTATGGGTTTCTTCCACGACCAAAACACCAGTGGCCTTTGTTGGTTTGCTACATTTAAGAAAATGTCTTTAAACTCCTGGAAAATAAATCAGTACATTTTCTTAAGAAGTTAGACTGTTTTAAATGCACTTTAGAACAGCACGCAACAACACTACATA